GGGAGGGGGGAGCCGCAAAAACTCGAACTTAAAACTTACACTCACTATTTTCTTCGAAAATATATGTGAGTTCCACGAAATGTCTTCTAAATAGGCAATGCTTAATTCATATGTGGGTAACTACAATGTCCAAATTATTGATCGACTGAAATTTTATTTAACGAGATCAGTTACTTTCCAATGAACGAAAAGTAAATATTTCATGAGTTTTTTTTTATAAGTCTCCTATTGATATGACTAGTTTTGTTTCATAATATTCTTGAATATGATTCAATGTTACAGATAATAAACTAATAATTGAGTGTGGATGTGAAGAGAGTTTCCGTGTAGATTAACAAAAGCTTTTTTGCGGCACCGATGCGCGCACTCACTATATATAAATTCTTCTATAATAATCTGTTAAACAAAAATTCTTTTTTTTTATTTTCTAGATGGTTGAATAATGTTAAATGATTTTGAACGATAATCCACTGTTTGTATTGGTGAGAGTGTGGTGTGGGTTTCATAATCGTTTCTTCACCCAAAGCCATCCACATCTACAACCCACACCCAACACATGCTATTTTCCAACGAGAAAATATTCGATTTAAATGGTATTTATGATTCTTAGGGGTGTGGGTACGGGTGTGGGTGTGGGTGTGGATTTGGGTGTAGGTGTGGGTGGGTGTGGGTGTGGGGGTGTGGGTGTTGGTATGCGTGTGGATGTTAATGTGGATGGAAAGAAGACGGACATCCATACCCACACCCCCCACCCACATCCACGGCCATATCCACACACCCACACCTACACCCACACACCAGCCCACACCCCACACCCACACACCCACACCTACACCCACACACCAGCCCACACCCCACACCCACATCCACGCCCACACCCACACACCCACACCTACACCCACACACCAGCCCACACCTACACCCACACACCAGCCCACACCCACACCCTTTTCACGCCAAGCAGAATAACTACTCAAATTTGTTTTTCTCTCTCTCTCTCTTATATACTGCACAGTAGGAACGAGGTAAACGAAATGCAATTTCGATTGTGTTTCTTTTGTATACTTTTTGTAGCGCTATCTTTGACTCTTCTCTCTCTCGAGATTATAAAAACCAATGAAATTTCGCGATGAATTATGTTCCAGTGTGAATCACTTGTATCAACAATCAAGAGAAGGAAGTGCAACAGCAGCGAAGAGAGTAAAAACTTTCTGTTCTGATTGTGATAAATATTTTTGTCTTGATTGTTTCAATGAAAAGCATTACTCAATGTAATATAAAGAATTCGAATATTGAACAAGATGAAGTGGATGAGGGAATATATGGCATCCACTAGTAGGAAAAAAGAAGAAAAACAAACTGTTTTTGTTATTTTCCTTATAAAATATGACGTGACCTACGGATGGGTCACATCGTGGTAAATGTGTTAACTAATGTTTCAAGTCAACGAAGAATATAAACGGATATATAAATGTCTAAAGCAAATGATACTGCTGAGATAGGTTAGTTACAATTTATTATTCTTATTATTTGAATATTTGATTTGTAGAACGACTGAAAGACTCTCGAAAAGTTGATAGTCTTGCTTTTATTCTTCTTTTATTTCTTCAATAATTCCATCAAATTGATCTGAAATCAACATTTTTACGAGATGAGTATGTTTATTTAGTTTTATTGAATGAAAAATTCAGTTTTTTTTTTTTGGTAATAAAATATTTAGATGGTCAAATCGTAAACGAAATTCGAATATAGACGCTCGAAAGAATCGAGTATGTTTTTAATTAATTTTATTCAAAAAAATAAATAAGTCAAATATGATTTTAGATTTACGATGAATAAAGTCATCAATTATTTATTCAATCACATTTAGATGATCTGTTAAACATTGTTTCTGAAACTTGAGGTATATCAATTTTGTGAAAGTTAAATATATTTTCTAAAAAGATAATCAGTGAAAGTTTTAAGTCAAGATTTTGTAGTTCTCTTCTCGCCAAGTCAAAGGTCATTCATAACGAAATTTCTTCATGTGTTATGCTTGACGTCTTTTTGGAATAAACGTTTATCTAATAGGCTTATTTCATTCGTCTTTTCAAACGCTATGAAATAATCGCGTTAGATTTTATTGTTTAACAAAATTGTACTTCTGTACATACTTTAACAAATTTCTAACAATAATGCAGAATTTAAAAGAAATAAAGGTATAGACTTTATAGCGTTTGAAAAGGGTGAGTGAACGAGCCTTGTCTGTATGAATTTATTCGAAGTTTTCGATCTATTATGAAGAATATATATCACCTACTCGTCATACCAATGGAGGATATTAGACTAGGTTCCGATGGTTCTTTGCAATGTACAAGACATCAATTAGAAGATTTAAACTATCCTAGAACCTTCCTCAATCTTTCCTTAGATTGAGATTGTCGGAATATATTTTTGAATGTTGTACATAGTACAATCGCTGATTTTCACGGAGATAAACGATCAGACTGGTTGATAGTGATTTATTCATTTGTCCCATTCATTGTATGATTCAAAACCTGCGGAACAAACTTTTTTCATGTTCCGTTGATCGAAATAGTGAACATTTAAAAAAAAAATTTTCTTTATCTGGTATTTATTCAAAAATTAAGATATTTCTTAGAAATAATAAATTAGGATGTACGACATATTCACCTATTGAAATTAATCAAATTCAAGGCATTGGTTCTTTTCTATAGTATTCTCTCCTATGTTTTCAAAATATTCCATTTGAAAAACATTGAAGATTGTACCGTAGAACTGTAAATATGATTGACACAACAAATATGAATTAACCAAGTTCTGACATTCAAGACATAATCAATATTACTGTTTGTTAGTTTATCGAAATATATAGAGACAGTTTCGGAAGTCCAATACTTTCTCTATAACTATTACTAGTAGATCAGGGTAGAAAGTCGACTTGATTTAAATTCTCTACATATTAATCATGAGAGCCAGTGTATTTCACAAGTTAGTTAGCATGCTTTATTACACAGATGATTCGAGAGAAAGGGTCGTTAGTGATTTATTCAAGGTAATGCCCAGATTCAAACACAGTATCTTGAAAATACGTGTCGAACAACTGATCCATCCATCGATAGCGGCTCTAAGAACTGTACTAACAAGTTTTTATCTATTTTTAAGAATCAAATAATAATCAAAGTGTGCAATGAGCAACATTAAGGATGGATGCAGTAACAATTCTTAGCTATATATTCGAAGGAACAACACTTCATGATAATCTCCAAAAAATTGTTCCATTACACGTTATTATAGAAAATTCATCGATTCAACATGAAATTGTCATAGTAAAGAAATAAATTCTATTCTAAAAATGATGAAGATTTATTTTTATATTTATTAGAATAAATCAATTGTTCCATTTAAAAATTTATCAAATTTAATTCATTGTTCACTTATTGCTAATCCATTTCAAATTGGACAAACAATGAAACGTGGAACATTGTTATCACTTCCATTTAATAGTTTGTTTCTTTTCCTTATTTGTAATTTGATGAATATAAAATTCATTTAGATCCAACACATTAACAAAGATTTGGTCGAGTTCTATGTAATTTAAATTTTGCTGATGAAATGTAAAAATTTTTTTTTTTCTATTTATTAAATTAAGAATATTTTTTTTTTCTAGACATCAATTTGTATTAATGATAATGATTAATCAATCATTAACCGATCAGATAAAAGATTTAATTGCAAAGGAAAATTTTACGCTTTCATAAAAATTAAACTAATGTTAGCGTCAGCTTTAAAGATTTTTTTTTTAAATTGAATAGATTGGGAATATAAGCAGTTAGCGATCTGCGCTTTTATCAATTGAAAGAGATCACATGAGGTCGTCTTTCGTTTTAATATTATATTAAATCAAATTATATGAAATATATTCATCTTCATAAAACATTATAAATATACATGATACAATGATTTGTTTTTGTAACAAAACTAAAATCAAAAGTTCATCGTAACGATAGTTCATTTTTATGGATTTTTCAGAGATGATAGGTTATCATATAATATTAGAAACAAGATATCTCCATGTCTTTTCTCTCTCGGCTACTGCAGGTAGCAGATCGCTAGATGTTTGTATTCTCGATTTATTCAATTTTCAATCGAATATTTTTAAATCAGATGTTAACTACTTTGATTTACTTTTTTAGCAATCGCCTGAAATTGCTAATGCAGAATTTCGTATACATTGTTGCAGTTATTCATATATCTATATACTGGCTCCATTACGGTAATCTATTCATATTCAGCTTTACTTTTTTTTTTGTGAAACATGATCTTACAGAAGTATTAAGGTAAAAACTTGAACTACTCGTCTCCGACGGACATAACAGCGACTTTAATAGGCATGCAACGGTGATGATCCGTTACCGCTTATCTGACAGCAATTTCACCGGTCTAACGTTTCAACATCAAAAAAACGATCTTTTCTAAAGGTTTTTGCGAACATGATCTAAGAGTGTTGAAGTATAAGGATAGCAATGTTAACTCTTCCTTCTCACAAATCGTGACTAATGTGCCTCAAAAGATCGTGATAGATCTTAATAAAACCTTTTGCTCAATCACAGACCGTAACCTACACCTCAGTGTTAGTGCTCCTTTCTGATGGAAGATGACACACATATCCGGTAAACTGAAATCTACTGCAGAATTGGCATAAAATACAACTGAATGTTAAGATATCTATCCTTTGCGTTGTGACATATTACGATTAATGCCTTTCATCATTGGTATAGGATAATAATAGGTAGCGATTGACAACTGACATATATATGTTAGTATATCCTCACTTATAATATATGCTACTCCATCGGATTTCATATTTTAATCCCACCAGAATTTCGCCAAGAGATTTTTAACTTGCTCATCGACCGTTACTATTTGCCAATTTTCGAAGAAACAGCTATTGATTCATACCGCTCATCGCTGATTATGATAGACACCTTAGCAATGCTTTGTTCGTCATATACTGTGATAGACATTTCCACAAAACTGAAGTTCACTGTAGTCACTTGATCATGTTTTCTGTTTTCATATCATAAGATTGCAATAATAATTTTTATTTCTATCTATATATAGATGCGTTGAAGTTCGTAACTGTCATTATGTAACAATTGTTCTCGGCGCTGTTGAAACAACATTAAAAGTGACAGATTGTGAAAATGTATCAATATCTGCTGTTTGTCATCGATTACTCATCAGGTTCAGTTTCATTTTTTTTTGCTTTATTTTCTAATTAAATAAATATTTTAGTCAATGCCGTTGATCATCATTTTATATTCATACATCAACACGACCATTAATACAATTAAATTATGTTAGTTTACTTTTTGCATCATATAACATCTCACATGTTGAATTAGTCGAACAAATGGAACGTGTTGATCTTTGTAAAGAACTTAATTTATGGAATAAACCATTAGTTAATCATCCAACTGGTTATGTTGATGAACAACCATGGTTACTTCTTCCACCTGATAATTTCTATCCAATTAGTTCAATTCGATTAGAAGCTCAACAGACGGTAAAGAGAAGATAAATTTCCTAATTACAATGAAATAAAATCTATTTCTTCTATCGGATGCTTTAATTCCTTTATCCACCAGAATATCAATCAGCAATGGATAAAAGACAAAAATCAATATCATCATTATCAAATGAAAGAACAGCAGCTCAATTAAATTCTGAACAACGTCAATGCTTTCAACGTTTTGTTGTATCAAATTTTGAAGCATAGCTTGATGCAACAGGAAATGCTAAAATTCTTAATCATCTTTCTAGTTTACAATAATAATAATCTCATCTTTCTTTTTTTTGTATATTCTATTGTGACACAATTGTACAAAACTTAACAGAAAAAAAAACTAACATATTAAAGTTATTTGACAATTATTTCTTTTTGTTTTTCTTTTTAATACACATATAAAACAAAACAGAGAAAGAGACAATAATCAAAAAGAAAAATCATCAGAAAGACTTATTTAAATAAATTATGAATAATATGTTAAAACATTTTTTTGATTACTACCTACGAATAATAATGGAGGTAAATTATAACTAATCGCACCTAAATATACAAGATAAAGACCAGGTGATATCGATTGTTTTCGTGAAATTGGTAATGTACTATAGAAAAAGAAATACAAATCAGAAATATTGAATTTATAATGCTCTCAATGAATTTTTTTTATTGAAATCTATCGTGATCAATAGGAATTTTATAGATTATATTCGCTAGTCTGAAATCTATACTGACTAGCTGCGAGCATCAATTCTGTCATCAAATATTGCTATTTGCCGTTGTCAGTTGTCAATAAAATCTTAGCACATCTTTTCTATGAGATGATTTTCACCTCACAGGATCGTATCTGTTCAATTTTCTATTATTAAGTTTTTCTTATTCCTTATTTGGAAATTTCACGAAACTAAGAACGATAACTTTCAACTGTCATCGATGTCTGTCTATACTTTAAAGAGATACAGCGAAGTAAACAAGGTACATCGGTATGATGGCTAAATATGCAGCAGTTAAAAGCTTAATCTACTACATGTCTAACGCGGATGATACTCAGGAAGTCATAGGATCGAACTGAGTCTCCAGAAGAAAATTACTACCCTACCTTTGGGACATCTTATAGTGTAGAGTACTGTCTGAAGAGAGTTTTCAAAATCTGATATTTATCCTAAAATCATCGCTAGATGTCATAAATCCATAAGAAATAAAAATTATTTTAGTCTAATAAAACTTCGACAGCTAACATCAATTGTTATCTCCTTAGCCGTTTCACTTTCTCAACTCTTTTTAGTTCCTTCATTCGTTTCGCTCCTTTCATTCCTTAGAGTGAGAGTAAGGAGTTAGAATGAAGTTTGTCGTAGTGACTTTCTCGGTGAATTTTCGGCAATGGCTCAAAGTCATGTTACCAGTTATGCTTTTATCTTTAGTAAAACTGATTTTTAGGTAGCAATCAAAATTTGTTTTTACTAGGCTTTCACCCTTTGCAGAACTGATCTACTGATAATTGCCAAAACTTTTTTTTTTTTTTCATGAGCGAAGGCTTGATAGAAATAGAACTTTTCAGTCTTGCTGAAAGTTAGTATTGGGAATTTTTTGTCCTTGGGCAAAAGGAGCTAAAATTGTACAGAATTAAAAAACTAATGAAAGTAAAAGGGAGTAAAGGGATAAGGATTAATGATATCTAATGCTGATTTGTTCGACTAGGATAACTTTGATTTCTTAACACATTGAACTCGATTTGATTCCACGGAGTAGCAAATAATATTTTTCCAGAGGGTACAGCTCTAAATACAAGGGATATCAACATTGAATTTTATGCCACACGAAACCTCGTCGAAAACGGGATTTAGTAGTATTACTAGCAATTCATAGAATGACTATGTGCTAAAGAATTACCAAAAGTTCCAAAATTTTCAGACATATAATTGAGTATTTTTATGAGTAGTCAACCACGAAAAACAAATAGATCTCAGGGAATGTTTCGTCTATCGAATTTTGTAGAGCTCTCTTTGCCGATCATTTTAATAAAAAAGATTTTTTAAATTTGATAAATAAATGACGATGCTAGAGTCAAAATACTGAAAAAAAATCGTAGCTCTAGCAGACAGAGCTGTTTCATTTTTTTCAGTATTTTGACTCTAGCATCATCATTTATTTATCAAATTTAAAAAATCTTTCAATCAAAATGATCGACAAAGAGAGCTCTACAAAGTCTGACAGACGAAAAATTTTTCTGAGAATCTTTTGTTTTCATAGCCGACTAACCACTGTACAATATAGTGAGACCCACCGGTGGATCTCATAGGGTTGAATGTGTTAATAAATCTCTTTTAAATATAGCTCTGAACAGATGACTTGCCTGATTTAGAGTTCTCCTATTCAATTACTCGACCTCCTAACATACAATGACTAATCACATATACTAGCCACAAAGGCTGATATATTTCACAACATATTTAGTATGCTATTGAGTACTCAGTCAGACTAACGTCTTAGTTGGATCAGTGTTCAGTCGATCAACAAGGATTGAGACTGACGCATATCTATTACTGGCAAATCAAGTTAAAGGATAAAAGCTGTTAGCAGCAATCCTTATGAGATTGAAATGTGAAATATGATGATCCTGTCGGACTAGGATTCAGTTTTGCAGGTACATCTATTAATCTATAAGGGAGAAAACGTGTTGCTACAAGGTTTGTTATGGTCTATGACCAGTTGTTACTAAGCTCTCTGTGTGGAAGATCGTGTCTCACAAAACTTATATCTTACTTACACAATAATTAATGATGACTTCGAACTATGTTCTACTAAATATTCATGCAAATTAAGACCTCTTTTAATTTTCTCTTTATTGGCTTCTACTTCTGTTTCTGTTATCTTCCATGATTCATCATTTTCTGTTCTCTTTTTATTATTTTCATGCCATGCTTGTAACAATTGATCAAATTTTTGTGTTTCATATACATTTGGTTGTTTATTAAGACCATGAAGAACATGTAGATCTATATATCTGTATATCTAATTCGAAATTTTGTTAATAGTGACATCATTACAATATATTCTCGTTCAGCATCAGTTTGCTCACGATGTACAAATGAAACTATTCGAAAATTGACAATTACGCCAACGTCTACGACATCTTAATAAATAAGGTAATAATAAAGTCAATCTACCATCATCATCAAATAACCACCAAATATCAATAATAGCTGATGATGTTTGTATAGGATGAAAAATATTCATGTTTTATAAAGCACCTTTATTTATAATCGTATCTTTGAATGTTAAAACATCTGTTTGACGTCATTTATTATTAATATTATTATTATTTTGTGATATTGACACACGTAATGAGTTAAATATTGTTGATTCTTCATCATCATCGACATCATCATCAGCTGAATCTATTGAAAAAGTTTCACATAAAAAAATTTTTTTCCAAAAGAACTTTACCTGACTCAAAAAAATGACTAAAATCATGTCCAGTTTTTAATCTTAAAATTCCAATACCATATTTAAGATGTAATGTATCATGAATTATATTAAAATAATCAATAGTTGCCTCTGTTTTTATTAATCAATCATTTTTAAAACCAAGAACAACGACATTTAGTCGCAATTTATCTACACACTAGACAGACAACAAAGAAATCATTTCATGAGACGTTATATTTTCATACTTGAAATAATGATATTACTCCTTGTCGAACAGTTGGTGCAACAACTGTTTGATAAAACACTCTAGCTGTACGATTTTTTAACCATGTTTTACCTTTATCTTTTTGTTCATATTGAATATTTACTGTTGGATCATCGTTAAATATAATTTTTATTACACGTGCTTTTCATCATTTTGTGTTTATTATAATTTTGGTGAATCATTTTTTTGTCATTCGAAAATTCTCCCGAGTCCCACCGCTAGAAAAGATGAGTAACCGGATGCTTAAAAAGTATTCTAAAATTTAACAGGAAGCTTCGAAACAGTAGGAAAAAATGATAAAAACTTCAATTGAATTCCTCCTTAAGCGTTTAACTTTTCATCGTTTTCCATCAGTACAGCTCATCGGCGGATCTAGACACAAATCGTACTTTTGATACTTATTGAAGTTTTTAGTTCACATTTGATAGTGACTTCGAAATATACTCTGAACAATTTTCAAGCAATTTTGATGATCATCGTATAAAAATTGAATTATAGTTGGCTGCTTTTTTGAGGATAGTGCTAGTCCATTAAAAGATTTTTATTTTCGAGAAATTTTCAACCGGATTTTGGAAAAAGTGGTGATAGAAAGCTGACTGAAAAGAACCTAGATGGGAACATCCTCGAAACATTGATCTCTAATGCTACGAAATTTCAGAAATCAAATGTCCATTTTTTTGTCTTGGTGGTGGCTAAGTCGTTCGGCTTACAACTCTAGATGGAACTAATCCGATCTCTTAGATAGATAATAATCAAAAACAAAACTTATCCTTTTATTATAGAAAAAAGAAATATTTTTTTTTATCCTTACTAAAATCACGTTTCCACATTATCATTAAACTATGTCCATAAGTAACTAATGAACAAAGATCAACTAATGTTGGACGATAAATTGGATTTCCGGTTAAAACTAATATTTATGGTCGAACATTTTTCACATGTCCTTGAATATTATCTAATTTATGAGTTGCATATTGTACTCGTCGATATGCTCGAGCTTGAACAGATGAACCCCAATTAATTTCTACAAAAATCCATCATCAAAAATTTTATTCATATCTAGAATATTTTTACCTAGTTTTGTCCTTCTAACATATAGAAAAATTCTACTATTGACTACAAATGTGATCAAAGCAGCCCATCTTAAAAAACCGAGAAGATTTTTCGAGATATATTTTTGCATTGTCAAAATCTTACCGATTGATAATAAACATCACTGTAACACATAATAATGCTCTAGTTAATGCCAACCATTTATTATAATATCGAAAATCTGATCTCCATCCACTAGCTTTTGCTAATGATACATCGAAACATCCATAATTAACTAATGCATAAGTCATTAGAAAAAAAAATTGGAAAATATCGGTGCAATTACATTTAATTCATCTTTGAAAGATATGAAAATTGATTTGAAAAACAAGAAATGTTCAAAGAATTTTTTTTATCAATAGCAGTAAATGAAATAGCAACGAAATATGTTAAGACATATGTTCGTATTGGTTCATTAGATTTTCCATTATCAACAGCAAAATATTTTAAACGAGAATAAATCATATCTCGACAAACAGCTTGAAAGATTTTCAATGCACTAACAAGACTTGCTAAAATAGATCTCATAGGTATAACTATATAAATTCACCATCCTACCTAAAGCAGTTGATAATGTTACAGCAAATATTCCAGCTAAGAACAAACAAACAAACAAAGTTAAATCAACAGATAGATAATGTTAACAAACCAATTATAATTGGTTCGAAGGCTGATATCATTTTCATTATTTGATAATTATATATCAAACGAGCTCTTTCAAAATCATATCATCACCTAGGAATAGAAGTAGATTACGATAGTCTAATCGATAGCGACTACAACTAGCCTCGAGCATCGCCGGAAGCTGAAAACCTTTAACTTTTTTCGTTTTTGAAAGCTCCAAGACAATCATTCCAATCGGCAGAAATGGCTGTAAACCAATGTGTCACAACACATTATATGTCATCATATTCCACTATCCTATTCTACAAGCCATTTTTTTCCAATCTGAGACATATGCGAAAGTCTCAAGCTTCAGCGGTGGCTAGAATTTTTTAATAAATCTTTTTTTTTTTAAATTTTGTGAAATAAGCTCTAAAAGGAGTGTTAAAGTATGTAGGAGTAGAAACTTGGACCTACCTTTCCGTGCATAATAGATAGTCAGGCGACAACTTTTTGCTTGACTTCTAATTTTCTCACTAACTTGGCGCAGAAAAACATTGAATAGTATCTCATATGGTAATACATTGGACGCGCTTTAACATAACTTCTACTATGTTCGATCCTCATAGATATTTTAGCAAAACTTTATCGCATACGTGACAAAATTCACAACAAAAGTAAGCAACTCAATCATGTTTCACATTTGAATCTCGCAGAAATCGTGCTAATAGCTTTTTTTAGATTCAAGAAAGGACAGCGATAAATTTGCTAGCTAATTGACTCTTTCTGTAAACTAAAGAAGAACATTACTCACTATATATGTTTTCAAAATTGATTAACGTATTTATATAATATGATTCAATTATATACAGGATCAAGACGGATTGGTTGTTATTTGGTACATGTCTATTCATATGAACTATCCTCTAATAAAGAAAAAGAATCTCTAGATATTACGCTGCATCTGTTCTACTACAGAAAGTTTATATCAGCTAAGAAGCTTTCAGTCCAATCCCTGCAGGATTAAAAATGTAAAACACGATGTAGCTTGTTATGTTGAACGTAAATGAAGGGATTCAGCATATCAATTGTGGCATACAACGATAGAAAATGGTTTTGATTTTTGTTGTATTTTTATTCACATAGAGAAAACATCAAGAAAAACATATAATAAATACAACTAAGAAAAAAAAAGCCAAGATTATTTTCCTTGACAGCCATCATGATGATATACTTGTTCACCCTAAAACAATCAATAATAACTGATTTTGGATTGTTTATCAAATAAAATTAATTTACAATTTGCCAAACTTGAGCCATATTATCTTGCGATACAGAACAGATGACAAATGGTTCATTTGAATTCCATGAAAAATCAGAAATTTTAGCAGCATGACCACCGTGGATAAACTATAATAAATAAAATGATTTAAATAAGAAAGAATTTATTGATTTACTAATAGTTCAGGTGGACCATCTTCTACTTCAGATGATGTCTGTGGTTGATTAATTCGACTAAATAATAGGTGTTTATTACATTTGGTGAAATGATTCGTTAAGATTTACCTTAAATCCCATATATGAAGTCGTCGATCAGAACCACTTGATGCAAAAATAGTTTCATTTTGAGGTGACCATTGTACCTAAATAATCAATTATAAAATCATTTTTTTTAAAACATTTTTTTTTCTTCATTTATACTTGAAAAATTTCATCTTTATGAGATTCAAATGTAGTTAATTTAACTTTTAAATTTCTTAAATCCCATAAAGCAATTGTTCGATCAGCTGAACCAGTTATAAGAAAATATTCTGAGAATGGATTAAAAGAAAGCTAGAAGATAAAAAAAATCAGTCTATTATAAATAAATGAAATAATTATTACTTACACAATTAACTTTATCTAAATGTGCATCAATTATATGACTGGCTTTTACATAATTATTTGATCTTGTATCCCAACTTGAAATAAAATTCAAAATTTTAAATAATAGAAAAATCATCCAATACTTACATCATTAATTTTTGATCATCACCTACAGAACCAAATATAGTTGGATGTGTACAATGCCATGCAACATCCTATGAAAAATAGTTTATCTCTTACAATCAGCTCAAAATCATATAGATTCCGTAAAACTTGGGAATACCAATAACCTATTAGAGAGAGCTGCAGGGTCCATCCTCGGCTATGGAAGCACTCACAGTTCTCTAAAGTCTATGTATATGTTATTGTAGTCTGCTTATAAAAGAGATGTTCATCGTGGAACATCTTTGGCTTATAATCAAAAAACTAATATTTCTTTATCAACTAGTTCATTGTCAATATTTGGAAATAAAACATTTTCTGTAAAAGATTTTCTTACTTCAACAATCATTGAATGTCCAGTATAAATCGATAAAGCTTCTAATTTTTTTTCTTCTCTTGGATTAATATTTATATTCCATAAACAAACAGTATGATCATTAGCAGCACTAAGTAATTGTCCATTAATATTTGAATTCCATGATAAACCATAACCTTCTCTTGTATGACCTTTTAAATGCAATTCGGGATTACAATCACCTGGTTGTTCTTTACCTAATAGATGTGTATCAATATTGAATATTAATACATCAGATAATGGTGTTTTTGTTGCAATTATTTGAGGATTTTGTGGCATATAACGAGCACGATTAAGTTCACCTTCATGATTAATTTTTAAATCAATTTCAATACGACCATTTATTAAACCAAAACCACCTAATTCAGCTCGTTCATTATCATAATGAGAAGCATCTAATTGAAGATCTTCTTTTGGTAATTGTACACTAGCTATAATAAGATGATTTTGTTCATTTGATGTATGTGTACCAAGAATTAAACGATGAGTATTATAATCTCGACCTTCTTCTCTAAAAAGAAAACAAAACAAAAAGAAGATGTTCACTAAAAAAAGAATGAATTATTAATCAAAAAAAATTTCATACATTCGAACATGAGGTAACCATTGAGTTGTTAAACTAGGCCATTCAAGTGCATGAGTTATAACAAGATTATAAAGAAATGGTGCCTTATTTTTCCATATTTCATATTCTTCATTTATTGTTTTTTCTTCAACATTATTATCAAATTTACCTATGAATAAATAAAGATAGATTAAAGAAAATTTTTTAATAATTTTTTTCACCATCTCCATTCTCATGATAGAACTATTCCACTAGCTTCGGAGAATAGATCAGATATATACATTACTTTTTCATGAAATTAAATTATCATATGATCCTAACTCACCTGCTCTAGTTTGTGATGGCATACTTTGTGGATTTAAATTCATCGATATATTTATATCATTAATTGTATTTTTAACGTAATTAAATAAATTATTTAATATAATAATTAAATTTTTTTCTTCAGCAAGTCTATAAAAGAAAAGAAATAAAAAATTTTCATTAGATGAATAGAGTAGAGTGGGGCTATTCTGAACGCTTTTTTAGAAACTTTAATAAAAGTTTTAATAACTTTGTTATTTTTGAAGAAAAAAAAATACTGACATGTAGCTTGAAGTTTTCTCTACATACCTATCTAAAAATCTTCAAAAAGTACTTTGCGAAAGTCGTTCGGCACCTATTTTGCTAGAAGCACCATCGTTTTGTTCAGAATAGCCCCGTATGGGGCAATTATGAACACACACATCTTATAGTGGGGTAATTCTGAACACTCAGCTAAAATAGCTGGAAAATTTGAGCTTTACTCTGAGTCACTTTACTCATCATGTGATCAAGATTAATTAGTAATTTTTGCACCAGTAGATAGAGCACCTTTAATACTACAATCGGTAAGATTAACTTGTCTATAGCCTTTATTTTAAATTAATAGTAATTAAAATACTTTAATTAGAAAAAATCATTTTTGTTCATAATTGCCCCGTATGGGGCAATTATGAACACATGCTTCTTATAGTGGGGTAATTCTGAACGCTATGCAAAAATGATAGTAATATTCAAGTTTTTATTTCTGATCACTTTCCAAACGAACAATACGTCCAATTGAAAATCACTCCCTAAAAAAAGTTATAGATAATCTGATTCTGAACAATCGGATACCAAATTCAATACCATTAGAATGAATAATAATAAAAAAATGTCAATACCAAACAATAAATCATACCTCTTTATCAGCATGATTTTATAATTTAGTTTTAGTTTTTCACATTGGATGTTTATAGAATAGATTAATATCTTTTCAGTATAAGTTTTTAAGAGTTTTCAAACATATTGTAAATGATAACAGTGAAAATAAATAGCAAAGGTTAGGGAAACTAAAGGAATCAATGATAAAACATGAGATCAAATAACATATTGATCAAAAGTATCGATATCAATTGATCTCATTTCCTTTAAGACCTAAGAATCTAATGCTTAAGCATTTCAACTCGATAGAAAACATCAATTATAGACTCAGTGCTAGTTAAAATAGCTTACAGCAGAGTTCGAATTACAATATTGACCATGAGTCACTGGTTCGATACCAGTACTTCAAATTGTTCACTGTCCTTATCGATGTGAACATTTACAGAAGTGATCATAATGACCAGTGTAGACGGTAAAACAGCTGAAGCATAAGGCAAGAATTTTTTTCTGGAGTACTCAAACACCTTGATGCTAGGATATCGTAATATTATGAAGCATTGATTTTCATCCTATGTTTCATTGGTTCACAGTTAAAGAATCTACCTACAGACCTATGATCGTCACCAATCTTTTTATTATTGTTAGATGGCTGGTCAGTAAATAGTTGCAAAACATGATATCTTTTGTGGATTTATACATTTAATAACAAAACTCTACTTGAATCTTAGAAGGCTTGCTTTATAGTATTGCTCTCTGGATAGCGATTTTACAAATTCGCTCAATATTCATAGATATTCTTAGTAACTATTCCAGTTTCACTGATGATCTGCATGACAATATATGCAGAAGGAGTTGAACATCACCTATGAATACATGAATCAGCGATAATATAATATTGTGTTTGAAATTGTCTAAATTTTGACAGTTTAGGATTGTTTTCAAAACTTATTCGAAGTTATCATCATATTTAGAAAAAAGGACACTTTGATGATCATCATATTAAACGAAGTACTATCGATTTTTTATCATCTGGACTTCTCACTTTCTGAAGCGAAAGCATCCGTTAGGTTTCAATCTCAAACAAAACGTTCGATAATAATTCGTGTCTTCGTGATGAGAATCCGAGACTTGTTATACGTAAGTTCTATACTTCCTGCAAAAGTATGGATATCAAATGTCAGCGATGGTCATCTTGATAGAATTCTTTCAAATTCTGAAGATTTCGATTGTATCTAGTCAATAGTTATTAGAATTTTCCTTACTACATTCAGATAATCGAACTCATCTGAATCAGTAACGTTTGCGATTCTTTTTGGCATTAAGAACTTAACCCTTTCTTTCCGAGTGACACCTAAAGCTGGCATTTTTTTTAATGCTCTTTTCTGTTGAACTATAAGATTTATAGTAATTAGATCTATGTCAGATTAAGGCTTGCGTGTTATATATTTCAAATCAACAACCCAAACCTAACCTTTGCCATCAAAACTTTGTTTACAATTTAGATAAATGCAGTATATTCTAGGACGGACTAAATCAGCTATAGGAAAGAAAGGGTTAATGACAGAATAATGAGAATGTTTGAGAGTTTATTAAAACGCATATGAACTATCAGCATTTTTATTAGAAACTAGTCATTGAATTCGTTGTAGCGTTTTTTTCTGATGAATCATTATTATAACTCATTATTGACGTATTTCGAATATCTTCTGGTGGTACAAACTATCAGAAATGGACTCATTAGCCAATATATAATATCAGAAATAAATTTTTTCTTTTGAATCAGACAGTATATTTATTATTCATTTCTCTAAACTTCAAAATATTTTATTCTACTTAGTGTTAGCATTATATTGCTCACCATCTCAGATTCACATATTCCATAAATTCATGTAGAGGATCTCTAGTATCAATTAGATATTATTTTTTTCTCTTAAAAAATCAGTTGCCTGGCCTTTGTGAATATAAAAATATGCGAAAATCACTGTGGTAAATCTAAGTTTGTCACATGTTATTGTTACTATTTTTACATAATACACGGAAATATGCATATGTATGAAACTCTTTACCGTTTCCTACTGCAAATAAATAATTAATTATTGATCATTTTGTAATTGAATGAAAGTGAACCGAAATTCACTCTTTCTTACACTATACTTCAAGAACTTAGCAGCAACTGAGTCTATAATTGATGTTTTCTATCGAGTTGAAATGCTTAAGCATTAGATTCTTAGGTCTTAAAGGAAATGAGATCAATTGATATCGATACTTTTGATCAATATGTTATT